TATATAATTAAATCTATTTGTATTCATAATCCTGAGGCCCAATAGTTAACGCAATTTGGTGGTATGTACGTAACGAATAAATCCGAAAATATTTTAAGATCAAATCCGTCAATCTGTATAATGAAATTGTTTCCTGAAATCTGTATAAGTAATAAGGAAACTATACTTTGAAAAATATATCTAGAAGATCGAACGGGAAAAACCCAAATGATTTTTTTACGAGATAACCTAACCTAATTCTTTTTTACATATTGTAAAATGATATATCTGCATTCATTGATAAAAGTATTCGGCCGAATATTCATCACCTTAGATGAATTCTACAAAATGGAGATGAAAAAAGAAAAAGAAAAAATTCCTCGTTGTATTTATCTTCGAGCGAGTATTCTCGCAAGTAGAGAAAAGAAAGGGACACACACGGACGAACAATAAATGAGCGAGAACGAACGCACGAGTCGTCTATCTTGGGGCTTCCTTTAGATTTCGTGACATCCGTTTTATTTGTCTCTTTAAAGTCTTCAATCGTGTTTTTATCTTTTCTTTTTTTTCTTTTCTCCAAATTAAAACCGATTAAGATCCAGGCATATTTTCCTTTACAGATTTTAACATCATTTGACACATCCAAATAATATAATATAATATAATACAATTTATTTTATACTTTATTATACAATAATAATAATATATATACATACATACATACTTGTTTTTTTTTGTTTTTTAAAAAACTTAACAAACGTTCCAGTATTCTCTGTAAAATTCTGATCGAACAAAATAAATATCAATTAACTTATAAGAAAAGATAAAGGATTCGATAATATCCTTGACCAATTAACTTTTTATTCTTTATTTCTTTCTCTACAATATAAAGGGGAAAAAAGCGTGTTCCTGATAGGTTCATTTTTACAGGAAAAAAGGGAACCTTATAACTACACATATATATTCACGTAGGAGAGTCACTCGAGCGGAAAGCTTCAAGCTTCAGAGCTTCTTCAAGGACATATGTTTCCCGTAAGATTATACTTTTAGCTAGTGCTCGCAAATTATGCACGCTTTGGGAGGAACACGTGCATGCGTGTATATACGTGTGTGTGCGCGCGCGCGCGTGTGTATGTATACACATATATTATTACATATGCGTTCATGTTAAAATGAATGGCCTCACGTATATAGTTGAACTTAAAGTTTACTCAGTAATTAACTGCTGTTCTTGGCTATTTCTTTCTCTCTCTTTTTATCTATCTATCTTTTTCTTTCTTTCTTTCTTTCTTTCTCACTCTCAAACTGGAATTTATGGATACGAAACACCGACACATTCCTATTTAGCATATAACGTGTTACTAACTTTACACACACATACACACACGTTCTTTCTCTCCGTGTGTCTTCCTTCCATCTTCCTACTTTTACTTCTTTCTCTTCTTTTGACAACGAATAGTTAAAGGAACGAAAATGATCATCGTTTCGAAGAAGACGAGTTCGACGACACTAATATTTTTTTCCTCGTCCCAAGTTACCTTTTTTCGATTTGTTTAAACGTCGTTTCTTTTTAAAAAAGAATATCTTTCATTCGTAAATTTGTAATACGTCAATATTGATTAGTCAGATTCGTAAGATTGTTTCGTAATAAACATAACATATTATTTTGGTAATTTAAATAAATTATAAATGAAAATGGGGATGCTAAAGTTTAACACCAAACAATAAACTCATTTCTATCGTACACTTCAACGGATCAAATATAAAGTAAAAAATAATATACTATTTGTGCAATAAGAATTTGTTGATTTACCAAATACCACGCAATAACTTGTAAGAAATTTTGTCATAAGAAATTAACAATCGTTCATTTGATGATCGGTCATGATTTAGTGTTAATCAGATTTTCGTGATTAAGTTAAGTAATTAATAAATAAATAACGATACCAATCACAAATGTATACCCATACTTTTCGTTGAAATTATGTTAAAAAGACAATACGATTTATGATTGACTGTCATCCCTGTTGGGATTATCAACGTGTGCGTTATTCCATAAAACAATATACATTTGTCATCATTACGTATTTTGGCATCGGTTGTTTCATCGACAAACGTGTAATCCAACTTACCGTATAATAGAAACCAACTAGGATTAGGTTATTTAACGTATATTTCTCCAGTTTCCATTTCGTTTTTCTCGTGTCTTTCCATATTGCGACAATGCAACGAACGTATAATTCTTCGTTGTTACAGAGAAAAACAAATCCCATCCTTTTTTTTTGTTCCTTGCGTTCCTTGCTTATTTTTTCTTCGATACTGAAAAAAAAAGGACCCCGAAAATGTTACATTAAATTAAACAAGTTTAATCAAAATTCTTTTTATATGTATTTAATTACAATGATAAATGAATATACGTGTACAATATAATATATAATTAATTAGTAAAATTAAAATCATTTCACGGAATACATAAGCATTATAAAAAAAAAAAAGAAAAAGAACTTTATCTGTTTTTATGTGAAACCCCATTAAAACTACATTCCTCGCTTTTATAATTAACGCCAAGAGATCAAAATAAAAATAAAAATAAAAATAAAATTGAGGAAAAAAGAAATTACGAAGAAGAAATATTATACGTTATAGCATTAATAGATATTCATATATCTGATCGATCGTGTATGGTTGTACCGTTATTCTCGGTCAAGGTCCTTGTCGAGATGGAAATTGAAATGTCCCGTTCACCGTCGAGAATCGAATCTCCTTCCTGCGTTTTTTCTTCTTCTCCTTCTTATTTTTTTTTCTTCTTTTCTTTTTCCTTTTCTTTTTCTTTTTCTTTTTCTCTTTCTCTCATTATATCGTTGCGAAGGTTGATGGTAAACACATGTCCAAGTAAAAGATGATAAAGTCGTATAGAAAAAGATAGAGAGAGAGAGAGAGAGAGAGAGAGAGAGAGAGAGAAAGATTAATGAGCAATTAAATTCGCAATGATCAAACGAATTAACGATGGAAAACAGAAAAAAAAAATTGCTTCTTCGTTGCAATGTGATCCCAAACGTTATAATAAGATGATTTTTCTTTCATTTTTTTCTTCTTTTCTTAATATCCAAAAATCATACACACACACACATTAGATTAGAAAATAATTGAATATCACGCGTATCTCTCGTACGCGTCACATTTTAAAAGATTACGCGTTGAATTTGCGTTGCATTTGCGTTAAGTTGCTCTGTCAGATAAGAGATGAAGGGTTTTTTTAAAAGGAGTCATGTAAAAATGTAGATTTAAGATAAAATTCATTGAATCGCATGAGAGAAGACAATTTCGCGAAGCTTCAATTATTCTATCAAAAAGCGGAGAATTATATTCATTAATTTACTTTCCTTATACATATATATTCTTTCTTGGTATACTGTTTTATTGTTTTTTTTTTTATTTTTTATTATTTTTCTTATTTTTATAAAAAGAGATACAATTATTTTACGTTTTTATTTTTTTTTTTATATTGATAAAATATTACCAAATCGTACCACTTGTTACAATAAGATTTATGTATTTTTCTTTTCTTTTTTTTTTTATCTCTTGAGAAATACCGCACGGTGATTATTCTTCTTACATTTGTCAATGTCCTTGAAGTTGTTAAAGTATTATACAAAAATGATTCTGTCCTCTTTCCCGTTACGATTGACTTGAGAGATTTTAGAAAAATTCAACAAAAAGAAAAAAAGAACTATATTATTACAATATTATTTTTCTTGATGTCGTCAATTAGACGTTGTAATTCTTTTAAATAAATTAAATTCACGATTATTCTCCCACCCTCTCTCCTCTCCACCCACAATATCTCGATCGGTTGTATAATTTTTTATTTTTATTGATTAATTCAGAACAAATCGTCATTTTATTATTGTTCATTCTTAAAATAACATGGTTATGAAATAATAGGAAAGGTGAGGTTTGTGTTGTTTTTTTTTTCAATAGACAGAAAAAAAGAAAAAAATAGGGTATATACCAGAGTTTATAACGAAAGAAAATCCGTAGATCCAAGTATAGGATTGCGTGAGGATTGTGTTAGTGTATGTGCATTAGGTTACTATAGGAGAAGAGTTGAAGGGGGGAGGGGACACGAATGTGCGAATAGGTTGAGGGTCGCGAGTGGCCGTTGACCCTCCTCGTATGTATGTGCTAGTCTCATAGTATATCGTAGAGAACGTATTTACTTCCATACTTATGTACACATTGCTTCTGTTGATGCGATAGAATCCATACTGGTAATAGCTTAGCTAGTTTACCGACGTTCTTTTCTTTCTCTCTGTCTCTCTTTCCCTCTCTTCCATCATTATTCGCGTGCGCAAATATTTATGAACGTGCTCGCAAAAAAGAAAAAAAAAAAAGAAAAAGGTAAAGGATAAAGAAAACCTTGGCCCTTGAATTTCTCGAGGAAGAATCGAATGAACTTTTTTCGTTCGTCGTGATTGAAGGAATTAGAAGAAAAAAAAAACGTCTCATTTTATTCGAATTTTTCTTTTCCCACTTAGATTTTATGTTATTCCAATTTTAGTTTTAGAAAAGGAGATTTAGATTGAAAAACGGAAAATTGATATATTATAATAGAAATTAAGCTGATATTTATAATAAATATATCTTTAATATTATTATATATATATAAAAGAATTGAATTCGCGTTATTATTTCAATTCTAATCTGAAAGATTGGGGGTTCTTGTAATCAGACACTTTGAGAAAGTGAAAATCTTTTCATACACCTGTCGTAGATTTGTTACACTTACAACAGCTTGAGTTTTCTTTTGTCTGATCACCCCCAACCCTCCACCATTTTCCAAACACACTGAAGTACATTTTATAGATTAATAATTATTAAAATTTTCTGAGGGCCAGAGGAGGGGTTCATGCTCTTAACAAATATTGTACAATGGTATTTGACTCTGGGAATCTATGCAATACTCAGAACACATACATTGACCGTAACATATGTATATATATGTATTTGTTTTGTTTCAGTATCCATCCATTGGACCCTGCGAGCTTTTCTCAGATCGTTCTGAACAGAATTGTCCGGTTCCACCTGGGACATTACCACCCGATGCAAAACTTTCTCCCGCTGCAATTGATCTTCTGAAACGATTGTTGCAACCGGATCCATTATTGAGGCTTAAATCAATATTAACCCTTCAAACGCTAGCTTTTTATATGGGCCATAACGTGCAGAGTTATATGTATAAAAAAGTAATTGAATAATTTGTCATTTCTTTGACGAATGTAATAATCGTCATTGTTATCCTCATTTATTGAATGTTTTATTGTTTTCTAGAAATCTCCATTTAAGTTATTGGGCCGATCGAACTCAAATGATTCCTCAAATGCACAACAAATGCATTTCGATTTTGCTGACTTTGATTTCGTTGCTGGGAATCGCCGAATGAATGGAGTAATACATTGAGGAACATTAGTTATATGCCTATTTAATTTGCGAGCTGAAAATGTCAATTATGTGGTATAATAGTTTAATCGAACCATCTTCAAATCAAACATCATACGCAATAGCTTTTCAAGTATGGTATTATAAAAAAGTTATTGTAAGTTTAAAATGTTCTAAACTGAAGTATTTGGTTGTGCAAGTTTTGTTAAAATACCTAAATAATTAAGAACAAAACTTGATATAACTTATATTATCGGATCATGTTCGCTATGACAATAATAATCAACAAAAATATATGTGCTTTCTGATTAAGCTAACAATAAGTGTCAGAAGTTAAGAAAAATATTGATTGCAGAAATATTCACGCGCGCGTTGAATGCTATCACGTAACTTAAAATTTCTTTCTTAAGTAATGAAAAAGCTTCCAAATTTAAAATAATACTTATAAACCATCTGAAATAAGCAGACAGAAGATATGCATAAGTAACATTAAATTAATACTACGAAAAAAAAAGGAAAAATTGAATGCTAACTTTGTTCAATAAACATATTTTCATTACTTTTTATTATATAAATCTTTATTATATATATATATATATATATATATATATTCTTTTTATTATATAAATAAATGAAATATATGTGATTAAATGTTCACTCGGTATTAAAACAGTTACTTGGTGTGGAGTAGTAGGTAGTGTTGCAGATGTTTTATCCCATCAATGGTACCTTTTACTGGCTGACGGTATTGATGTGTCTTATATTAAATCTCTAGTTACTTTATCAAATCTAGGATTTTTTTATCTACATATACACTGTAAATCAGATATTCCTTCTCTTTTCTTGATTTTCATGTTTCATTCCAAAAATGTTTACTACCTCTAGCAATAGTTAATTTATGTAATGGGGTATTTTCTTATAAAAAATTCCCCGTTTTCTAGTAATTAATTCTGATGTAACCCTAGGTGTTTTTTCATAAGAAAATTCTGGGTGGGTATTTTTTTAATATGTTATAATACATAAAACTCCATAATTTCTCGTAATAATAATATAAATCTCTAATAAAAATTTCATGTAACGTTAGTTTAGAGTTTTATGTCAATTATATGTACTAATAAATCTTTTAATAAATGAGTTGGATAACGATCTTGCGCCATCTAGCAAGCACTGTGATGACTAATCGGAAAACTTTTTGCTGGCGAAGTAATGTAGCGTGTTCAATAATATTCAAAAATAATTAATTCACTGGGGAAAAATATTATATGAATATTTTTATAATAAACGTATCAAAAAAGACTTATGCAAAATATGTAATAAACTTAACAAAATCTTAAAGAGGAAAAAGGAAGTAGTGACTAGTGTTTACGTCTTTGGTCGCTGCTCGTGAGCACGCGTGTTTCGCTCGGTGGTTGGGACGGAAGAGAGCGAATAGCAGCGGTTGTTCATATACGTGGGGTTTTTTTAGTTTTCTAGTATCGCCACTAGAGGCGTGACGGTAAGAGTGCCGGAGGCGCCAAGCTTTGGCGTGACGCCACAGTAAGTTAGCATCTGCATCATCTAACGGTGTGATGATGAAACGTATTAAATATTACAACTTTCTAAGATATACCATCGTATATTTGTTAAAACAAGGGAAAAATATTGTGTGGATTTAGACTACATACCATACAGACATTTAATTAATATAATTATTCTAATTATGATATGTTAAAACAAATTAAATAATAAGTATAATACATCGACCATCATAATATTTCTTTATATAAATAAAATAAATTTAAATATTCAGTCTCTGATTTATATTTCCAAAAATTTATTGATAATTATTCGTACATTTCTGCTTATAAAAACAATAGCTACACATTTTAATACATATACTTAACAGAAGAGCAATTTATTTGTAATTTTATGGCATTGAATTAACTCATTTTCTGGTTTCAGTATAAGAAATTTTTTATTACATTCTTCTAAGAGTACACATTTTAAACGTTTCTTTAACAAAATTTCATGATTTTTATCTATAATTGTATCACCAAATAATACGCGAAGAGTTTCGAAAAATTCTTCTATGTATTCTTTTTGTATTCTTCTTGTATTAATTGAAATCCAATCTTGCATATTTTATACAACTACGATTATTTTCCGTTTATAAACTAATTTATGAAATAATTCTCTTCTTTCAATCGAAAGATAATTGCCCAATGCCATTTTAACTTCGGTAATTAATTTTTCCACAAGTGTACTATAGTTTCTGTTAAAAGTACTTCATAAGATTCAAATACTTCAGGATTTTGAATAATTTTAATTCTAATATAAACAGAAAAAATAGGTTTATCTTCTTAACCTCTTCTACTTATGATAGTTTTTATAAAGTAATTATATCATATTGTTTTCTTTTCGTCGGAAAAAGCTGATTGTTGAAGCTTTTCTAATTTTCTCTTTGACTCTAATCTCGTAAGTTTATCATCAATTTTACGACATGTTTGTCTTAATTGTTGAAGATTCATAACAATCAGCTTTAAATTTTCCTTGTCATATGCCATTTCTTCTTTCTTAAATGCCTCACAATCAAATTCTGGTATAAGACTTTTTGAATTTGTTATATCTAACTCCATACTCGAAATGGAAGCATCCATATTGAGGTTAGAATTGCTTTTTCCAGTTCAATATTATCAGATATTCGTGTATAAAATAATTCTTTTGTACTCACGGTACAATCTTTTCAAGTTTCCTGAGGGTCATTTGTTCTTGTTTGATGATAAATCGTTACTTCGATTAGACTGTTGTTTCAAGATTATTGTAAGATTCAAGATTCAACAGGAAAATAAGAATAATTAAATACTAGAGTGTCTTTGTACACTGAAGAAGAAAGAGAGGAAGGGGGAAGGATTTAGGAGCAAATGATGGGGGAAGATTTGAAAGATTCCTTGAGAGATAGATAAAGATAATATATACAATATTTTTATAAATATATATTTTTGGATCGAAATAAAGATCCCATTTTATAATGACTCACTGAAGCATTCGAACAATCACTATTAATCTAATAACATCAATTGAGATTTTATTGCATCATTCGTTAGCACATTTGGTGCAACTGTAGTCAAAGATTGAAACTCGTGTCTAAAGATAAGATATATTCAACGAAATAATAGATTGCATGGTTGCTCTACGATAATCGTCAATACGAATAATATTTAATAATTACTAGAATAATTCATTGAGAAAGTGTATAAATTTTGAATAAATACTTTTTAAATAAAATAAAACGTGTCATGTTCTCTATTGTTTGTGTCATCTTAAATATATCAGAACGTAATCTTTTTCCAAAGTATTGATACTAATTGTATATATATATACAACTGTTAAGCGATATATTTACGTAGGACTTCGTAGTTCAGTTGGTAGAGCTTTCGTTCGATAAGCGAGAGGTTCCGGGTTCATATCCCGGTCTAGAAACAATGGTTCTAAAATTTGTTTATACTTACTCATAAGTGTAGCAATTATGAGACCTTTAAGTATATATTATTTTCCCAATCAGGCACTAGTAAGAGGAACGTTACAGTATTATTTGGAATACGAATCATATTTGATAACAACCCTTAAGACTGAAATAATCTCACTCATTAGTCAATTTCCACTAAGCAAGTACATATTGAATGTACAATATGCAAGTAGGATAATTCGGTATGTAATGTGTAGTGCATAGTGTTGTTGTAGAATGGGATAGTGRGTAAGTGACTAATGTGTGTAAGTCGTAAGTCTTTACGACAATAGTCAATAATTCTTTCTTTAAGACTTACATTTATTGATGTAAGCTTCTTGAAAAGAAGTGATATTTTGAATCCCCTTAGTTATGTAGTTTCTTACTGTGTTTGGTTGTATTAAGGAATTAAAAATTATAGACCAT